CTGGCTGAACTGATTCTGCTTTTCCTACTTCCTTACTGAACAAACAGTGTTTTATACATTTTCGCCAGGTGTATTTTCAGGTTAATTCACAGTGGTTCTTTGGCTAAAGGTTCTTACTTCTTTTGATTTCTTTTTCTGTTTTTTTTTTCTGAAATGAAGCTTCATTGTCTCTCGAATATTTTTAGTGTTTTTTAAAAAAACCCTTTGAGTCAGTATTGATTCCTGATGACTGCCTGGACAAGTTCCTGTTGGTTTCATTCCAAGATTTTTATAGTAGTTTGCCATTGCCTCTGTCCTAGGATTGAGAGAGCAAGACTGGCTCAAGGACACCCAGTTGGCTTTGTGCCTCAGGTGAGACTAGAACTCATGGTCACCTGATGGCTAGCCTGATGTCTTACTCATTACACCAGATCGGCTATTGCTCATCCTTTTACCTCTGGAAAAAAATTCATGGCAGTAAAAAGTTTAGAATTCTCAGCAAGACAATTTCTATTCCTGATTCTAATTCTCCAAGACATGCTTGCAGACCCTGGATATGTAAAAACCTTGATATTAATGAAAAAAAGCATTCATTTTATTTTATTTGCTGTGAAGTTGTCCTTCCAATCTCTATTCCAGTCATTTTTTTCTTTCAGGATTAAAATGTGGCAGCATTGATTCGTTATGTTGTAAGAGCTGGAAATGTTGAAGTCTTAGTATGTAGACTAAGTATGTACTAAGCATATATTCAATTCTGCCACAACTCCCATATTTAATCTCAGACTCCTAGCTGCAGTATAAGACTATATTACTGGTCTATTTTTATGGATTATTGTATATATTTTTGAATCAATACACATGAAGTAATTTAATTACAACAACAACAAGAAAATTATAGGCCTTTCTTACACTTTGGTCCTGGGAGTCAGTACAATGAGACATATGAAACTGGCTCCAATTATTCATAGCAAAGACAGATATAATATTAGAGAAAAGGATCACGGTGGTCCCTTAGCTGTGGAAATCCAGCTTCACATCCGAAATGGCAGACATGCATTCCAGCCATAGCAACAAATCAAATGCTAGTTCAGCTGTTAGTCTTGCTTTTCCTTAGGTTTCAAAAGATGAAGATGTTCATTAATGAAAAATATGGAACATCAGACAATCAAGACTATGTATAGCTTGCTTTTGTTTCCAGCATACATTTTATTTTTTAAATAGAATTTGGTTTGGAAGAAAAATATATATGCTTTGACTGCATGTAGGAAAGAAGAATATCCCTAAATTGCTCCACTCCACTCCAATTCCCTCCTCCATGTTAAGTCTGTTTAGTAAGAGGCCTATGCATATGTTCAGAGGGCAGCTCTCTCTTTTTATTGTCTGTTTCCATGTCCCAAAAAAGAATGGTTAAAAAAAAGATTCTGTGACTAAAACCACAGAATCAAATTAAGACTTGAATGAAAAGAGATTTCTTAATGCTATCTCCTTCCAGCTTCCAGGTTTCTCATCTCCAGAACTGAGGGGATCAACAAAGCTGAATTGGTATTAGACGTATGCCATCCTTTCCCCCACTCCCATCCCAAACACACAGGCAACTAATTCCGGCTCATTAAACAAGATTGCTTCCATAGAATTGTGGCCGCCAGCAGCACCACAGTTTCTTTGTTCTCTTCAGAATAGCACCCCCAGGGGTGCTGATATTGCAGAAGGACTGAAATGGGTGCACTGAATGAACTAACCCCCCCAGTAATGAGACTGTTTTCAGTAGCACTTGCATGTGACCCTCTAGAATCAACCTTTTTGAAGGAGAGAAGGTTACTGTATGCTTTTCTATATCCAGAATATTCACCCCAAGAGCAAACTATTTCCTTCATTTGAAGAATCTTTTTAGTCTGTTTAACTTTTTGGTTGCTATATGTGTTCTGGAAAGAGAATACCGATCTGCAAATCCTTGGAACATAGAATGAAATACTCTTGCCCATTCATCTTACTTTCCCCCATCATATCACATATAGTTTAAATTATAAATGTAATATATGGGGAAGACAATAGTGTGGATAATAATAATAATAATTCTCAAAAACATTGAGTCCTTTTAATATTGTGAATATTATAAGTTTATTTAGAGCTTTCAGCCTGCTCCATTTTTGGAGTCTTGAGGATGGATAACAGTGATTTAGAAAAGCACAATGATATGAAGATTTCAAGTAACCTCATATTGGCTGAAAATCATTAGTTACTTAAAATAAGCCATGAAAAGTCTGAAGCAAACAGATCCAAGAGTTAGAATTCCTAGCTTTCTCTCACCTTATAGCAGCCAAAATAGAGAGAACTTAGGACAATCCTTTTGAAGTTGATTGAACTTGAGATACCACAAGTTATTGTTGGGGGGGGGGTGGATTCCATACTTGCAATATAAGTGCTGATGTGGATGTTACAGCAATGTGGTTGCTAAAGAAAACAGCTAAATACCCAGTCAACCCACAGTAATATTTAAATGCCTCCTTTGCATACTTAGGAATAACTTCTGGTTTGTGTGATTCATCTACTGCTTTCTAAACTGGTTATGCCAATAATATATGAATACTATATACTAGGTATGACACCATAGCTCATTGGTTGGTATAGTAACTCCCAGAATTCTTGTGGTGAAGTACTCACTAATCTCCAACTGTTCTCCCATGCTTTCCACCAGTGCAAACAAGTTTGTCTTTCTATCTTCTCTGCATGGACTTGACCGTATAGACCACACTAAGTACTTTTTTCTGGTGAGTTTGCTGAAATATGAGAAGTGAGGGAGGACGTCACATATGGGGACAAGTAAAATTATCCCCACCATTTTGTTTCCAGAATTCTCTATACTTTCTGTAACATTCATTATCATCTTCTCTTAAAATATAGAAGCAACTTCATTACTGTTGGAATGGGTAGTATGTTTTATACATACTTCAGAATATCCTTTGCTTCACTCTAGCCATAGCTAAAATTAAATTCTACTTAATTTTAATATTTTCCTGGTATGTATGTGGAAAGTGGGATTGAATCAGAATTGAATGAATGGAATGTTAGTTGGGAAAGAGAGGATGAAAAGTAGATATGGTAGTAAGTGGAAAAGATCTACCCTGTTTCTCCAACAATATGGCCTCCCCCAATAGGAAGTCCCAGCATGTTTTATAGGCATGAAATGAAATTAAGCCCCTCCCACCAAATTAAGGCCTATATTAAAACATGTGAAATGGGGGGGAATGGTGGGGGGGGGCTTGCCGTTAGGAAGTACCTTTGTTGCACACCCGGATATGGTGCTGCCTGCGTTGACCCCGATACGAAGTGCCCCACCAACGTCGAGGTCAACATCCAAGCTGTCGCCGCCCGCCCGAAGATGCAAGGGGAGGGGAATTAAGTCACCCCCGAAAAGACGGCCTAGCCATTTTTTCGGGGCTCAAAAAAAAATAAGACCCGGCCTTATTATATGAGAAACACGGTAGAAAGAAAAAAGATTGTGGACAAGACAACGGGTTACAGCACATGACAGCTTGTGAAAAGAGTTATCTGGAAAGAGGGACCATATAATTAGGCAGGAACATTCATCCAGGTACTTCATTGAATAATTACATGCTCCGGTTTTTACATTAATAGTTGGTTCTAATTCTGGATATTTTCTGGTCTTGATGGGATCCAAGATCTATGTCACATCCTCTTTGAAGTAAGGCATGTTTTAGAAGACTCTCACTGTTCTTTATATTAAATAGGTGTTGAAAGCGACTTATGTTGAGTAAATTTATAATCAATCTGGACCAAATATACAAGCTGAATTACTAGATAATAGATCAGTTTCTCAATATTGGCCATCTTTAAGATGCATGAACTTTAACTCCCAAAATTCTCTAGCCAGGCTCTCCTCAGCCTGATCTAAATTGTTTGATATGTCAGATAATCATAAGGAAGAAGTCAAAACTTTGCTGATGACATCATGTGAATAAACATAAAATCCATCATATATTGTAGAATCTAAAATATTCTAGTTCAACACTTCCTTCTTTCTTTGGCGTTCTTTTTAGGAATTATATATATAAAACACCTTTATGTTTAGCATAGGTCACATATGATCCAAGATTACTTATGAAATAAGGACACTATCTTGAGTCTCCCTCATGTTCGCACAGCATAATTTTTTGACTGAAACAAAATTAGATCCTTTTTAAGTCTTCCAGCTCTTTTCAAATAAGTTTAAGAAGAAAGGAAATCGTGTGTGTACCTTCTGTTATTTGGGAGAAATGCAAGGAATTAAAGAGAGTGTAACTGTAGCAAAATGCATTTAACTCTTTCCCTTCTCCCCTCCCCCCTCCCTCCTCCAGTAGGCCAGCTCACCCTCTGCGCTGAGAGGGTGTCAGCTGGAGTGGGCTGGGTCACTGAGAGGTGGGGTGGGGCAGAGATGGTCTGATAGTTCAGAGCAGCTGCAGGACTGTCTGTGTGAAGGAGTAAAGCTCTATTCTCTTTCTGCCTGTCTAGTTGTCAAGTCCCAACCCAGCCTCTCTGATTTGCATCCATCTCATTCTCATCGGGTAGATTTTGCTATGCTATTGCCGCTGACGCCTCTTCCTCCTCCTCTTCCACTTCTCCCCTTGCAATTAGCTTTGTGTGTGCAGCCCTAGGGGCTTTTCCCTCTCTGTTTCCACCTTCTCTAGGAAGGGGAACGTGTTATTCCAAGGCCAGTTGACATATTCGTTTGAGTGTATATGCGTACAGATACCTTGCGTGCCTGGACTTGGAAATCAACGTTTGATATGCAAGACAAAAGACTTGAGACAGCAAGAACAACTTTTTGAATAGGAGAGAAGAGAAACATACGAGCAAACAGGCTTTATGCTGAAGCTTAGAACAGTAAGGGAGAAAGCTGTGTTTTATTGACCAGAGAATTTCAATGAAACCAGAACAACCTGGCTTTTGGGGAAAAAAAGCTATTGAAGCCTCCAAGTTTGCTCTGATCATCTGGTTCTGTTCCTTTTGATATTGTTGCTTCTGGATCAGAATTTTTCTTTTCTTCAGACTGGAATGGTAGAAGAAGGTAGAAGCCGGGGAGATCCAACTCCCTGTAGTGGCAGGCAACAGAGATCCCCACACTTTCCTGCCTCACCACAACGGGGCATTTCAGTGGTAAGCAAAGCAGTGTGGAGTGTGGCACAAACAGGGAATGGATGGCATTTTGAGCAAGCTGTCGGAGTAGATTGTAGTTTGCCGGAACCCCGCTGCATCTGGCTGACAAGTTTGCGGAACAATGATGCTGAGTGTTGGGAGAGACGATGGCGGCGTGCTGGAGCAATGATGGCCTGGCAGAAATGCCAGGCACGACCCAGGAGGGCCAGGAAGCTCACGGTGAGAGGGGAACATTGCTCTGTCTTTTAGGGTGTCTGTATACTTTGAACAAGTCATTTCCTGCTGTGCCTTGCTTTTCCTATCTGCAAAATAGGAATAATTGTAATGTAATTTTATGTTCTATTAGTTGGCAAAATGACCAAAAATAACCATGTAAAATGATTTATCTTATAGAAGTTAGTGATCCTGGTAGAATGCATTATTGATCTGACATCCCCTCTCCCGCCCTGCCAACTTCTACCTTCTTCTCAATACTATGATTAATATTTAAGTCTTGGAAAATAATTAAAGAGATGACTTTCATATGTGTGGCTCGTATTTTCCTCACTAATATATAATCACTGTAAGATCTATACTTCTGAAAATTGAGCTAGGAGCTTGGTAGTCACCAACTCAACTTTCAGCCGAGCTTGAGATCTGGCTCCCTCATTTTTGAACTGAGAACTGAGGTGTGCCCTTCTCAGAAACACTATTTCCCCGGAGCATATATATAAACACATGACCCTGGTTTGTTTATGTGTAAACCATTGACTAATGCTGAGGGTGGCCAGCCTCATCTTAGCATCTTTAAAACAAATATTCAATTGCTTGTATTTATTTACTCTAGTGATGGTTGCTTTTATGTTTGCGTGTTAAATGATTGTATTTTGATTTTTATAAGCTACTTAGTAGGAAGGGAGGGCAAGACACGACAAAACCACTCGTTAGGAACAAAAATGAGTTCCTGAATGGGAAGGAGGGGGGGAAATCAAGACAGCTTTGCGTGTACTAGATGGGCAGACTGCTGATTTGCATGGATTTCAAGAAGTCAGCAGGCAAGGAATAAATGGTAGCTCATAGCCTTGGTTTCCATGATCTATAACACAGGAATACTTAACATAGCAATGACGTAAAGGGGACTTAACTTACTGGTTCCTTGAACTGATAAATGTTGTGCTCTGCTTTAAGAATGTCAAATTGTTTTGTAAGGTTATAGATTGGACTTGAATTTGGGAAAAGTGGTTACAGGTCTTTCACAAACATGAAGTTTTATCTTATTTTAAATATTACGTGTATTTTTCCTGAGCATTTCATGTTATTCTTTCTATTAAGGACATCATGGGACAATTATTAGATATGGGATGGGAATATATCTCATTTATTGTTTCCTAGGTCCCTAGGACATAGCTTTGAACAATTACTCTCTCAGAATGTGTTAAGGTGCTTTACAGCTGAGTAAAGATTTGGATGCATATTGTGAATTTTTCTATATTTGTTAGACTTGTTCCTGGGCAACTTAACTTATTATCTAGGCAAAAATTGAGTTTTTCAACCTGTGGCCATTATGTAAATTTAGAAAACCTGTATATCTTTTAGTTTGCACAATGTATTCAATAGGGTAATATTTTCTGTGTTTTAATTTTGCTTTTACTAAGCTTGGAAGATGGTGAGAAGATGTAAACTTTTCAAGAAACTGGATTGCTTTTCTTCATGTAATTGTTGCATGTGTGCACATGTCATTGAGTCTCCAGGTGTTGGACTCTATCCACTCTACATTAAACATAAACGATTCTTTTCTTGCTTCCAGTCAAGAGCTGGGATTGACCACAAGTTGTTACATCTATTATCTTACTTTTACCTTTTAATTTTACCATTTGTTTATTGATTAATACATTCAATCCATTTATGCTTTCATTTCACTAATTTACATGAATATACTGCAGCTATTTGATAAACCTACACCAGACAGGGTAGGTATTGAGAATTAGCATCTCTGATCATCTGTCAAGATGAACTCTAGAAGGAGGCATATTGTTCATCTATGGAAATTCTCAGTCCTTTTCTTGGTTACTTTTTTTTCTGTTCATCTGGCCTCCCAAAGCAGGCAAGTAAGCTAGTATAGCAAAAGTTTGTTCTCCATCTGTATAATAGTATGGATTAGACCCAGAGTATAAGGCAGATTAATGAGTCCAAAGAGCACTGGGCTATTGACAGTATGTTGTCAGGGGCCAAGCTTGCAAGCAATAATGATCATAAAATACTGTAGGATGGATATCACATACAGGTAGCCCTTTACTTTCAACTCATGAGTGGTCATGTTGAGTCATCCACATGACTGAACCAATTTTAAGACTTTACTTTATGACTGTTTTCAAGCAAACACAGAAGTTATAAAGTGAGTCATTCCTATGAGTATTCTTTTCTGGATACTGGCCTCAAAGGCTGGAAATTCACAAAAATCATTATAAATCGCAGTTATATAACCGTGGAATACTGCAATCGGCCTTGAAAGTGAGCTAGTTTCCAAGTGCCCAAAATACAGTCATGTGACCACAGGGCAGGAGCTTTTGGAACTCTGGAACTGGGTTTTAAGTACATTTTCGAAGGTCTGGTTATAACTTTGATCATTAAGTGACCAGTTGTTAAGCAAGGATTACCAATGTAAACTTGCAATTGTAAGAGTTTTAATGCATCTGACTAAAACATAATTCCCATTTGGGCCAGGGAGCATTTTTTCATTCATTAGTAAAAAGCTTTGCAGTAGTAGAAATAACTAAGAACTCATATTTATGTACTCTTAAAACAATCAAGAACGAGCTTTTGAAGACTTAAGAAAGCTTACTTTTAACATGGAAGGAAAATAAATCTGCTTGTGTAAAATATTCTAACCAAAGTTTTACATTTTCCAATGATTAGGCTATGTGAGTTTTATATAGTAATGAGTTATATCTTTTGTATATGCATGTTTTCCTTGACATTTGTAGTATATTTGCATCCTAAATCTATTCAATATTGAAAGTATATTGAATAGAGAGAAGACGTTTAAAAGTACATCGAATCTGGTCATCCAATCTGAGGTTTTAAAGTAAATTAAGTGGGAAAAGATCATTGTTTGGAATAATGGACTCAATTTACTTCTAAAATGTGAGAATTGTCTCTTACAAAATATGCAAGTTTGATTTGACATGGCTGTTAATTGATATAGAGAGAAATAGCCTCAGACGCCAAGTGGTAATGTGTTCCTAAATTATTCAGAAACATTGAAAAGTTCAGTACACTTCTCCTAGTTATTCCAATTATGAGATAGTTCAAAATCAGCATATTAACTCATGATTAAGGAAAATGTGACTCCAAATACTGTTGTTGGAGTATTATATGTAAACCTTGGGGTATACAGGTTGAATATAGTTGAAAATGGGGTCAGGTTACTTATGGACAAGATATAGAACCAAAGGTGAACTAGGTCCTCTCTTTCTCTCTCAAACTTGTCATCACTTTTTTTTTTCCTGCCCACGTCCTTCCAGGTAGAAGAACAGGACATTTTTTTCAGAATCTGAGCTGACTACATGCTGAAGACAAGTCAGCGAGGTGGTAAGACAGATAGATAGATATTGAATTGGCAATGGAGAGACCAGGTTCTGATCTACTCTCAGCCCAATCCTCATTGCAACAATTGTTTCCTATTTTTCTACTTGCATTTTTACATGCTTTCGAACTGCTAGGTTGGCAGAAGCTGGGACAAGTAACAGGAGCTCACTCCATTACGCGGCATTAGGGATTCGGACCACCGAACTGCCGACCTTTCTGATTGACAAGCTCAGCATCTTAGCCACTGAGCCACCACGTCCCTTTGTAGCCACCACACTAAGAGTGTTCAAATTTGAGATGTTCAAATAATTCTGAATTTGAGATGCGACATGAAAGTCTGGTCTGAGTAACTTTGGGCCAACAATTCTTTCTCAGCCCATAACATCAGGCTTGGGCAACAAGTTGGTTGGTCAACCAATGTTGCAACCAGTGAATCGATACTCAATTGATCAGAAAAAAGCAGACCCTGCATTTCTAGGAAAACACTGGGAAGGAAAAAAAAATGCTTGTGTTAACTTGAGGAGGGCAATGTATGTTCATGTACTTGTATAAATAAGAAATACTAATTATTATTGCTGTTAGCATAGCTGACACAGTTATATAATAAACTCAACAGTGGAACTTGGTTTTAGTCATAACGTGGAAGGAAAAGCATGCATGTGGGTGCAGAAACCTTCTGCACTTTGCATCTCTACTTCCTCTGCTGATCTTTTGTTTCCTGTTATCAGGAACTTTGGTCATTCAGTATGAATGAATGAACAAGAGGCCACTCGTGCAAAGTTTTAATCTGTGTGCTCGGTTTGCAGTGCATCCACATCCGCTGTCTCTTCCTGAGGGCTGCTGAGTCCATTGACAATAGGAGGCAAACTGCAGAGCAGACAAAATGCACATGGAGAATGACCTGGGGGCCAGCCAGGCACAGAAAAGAGACATTGACAGGCAGGCTCAGAGAGGGTTAGACTTTTGTCCTAGGCTGCATTCTCTGAGCCCAGGGATCTGCCATCCAGGAAGAACAGAGTGAACCCCACACAGGCTGATTTCCTAGGGAGCCAAGTCAGTCACCTCGGTTCCAAGTCAGATATCATTTGGGAAAGGTAAGAGGGCGTATACAGGTCAGACCAGTTGGGCTTCCTTCTCTTTAGGTTTTCAGTCAAATAAACTAGTCTAGAACAGTGTCTGTATTTTTAGGTAGCTGGGTTCTTCAATTAGTCATAAAAATAATCAAAAACTTTATTTTGTCCATAATCATTTTCCTGTCTTGTTTTTCCTGTTCTGTTTTCATTCTGTATGAGAACATACTAGGGGCTAATATCCATGGCTTAACAAATTTCCATGGATGGGCATGGAGAATAAACATAGAAAGAGGAGCTCCAATTTCAAAGGTTCAGTACTTGAGATTTAGTTCCTGATTAGTTATCTTGTGTCATTCTTGGATTTATGTTGATCGAGCCTAAAACATCCTCCTGATCTCCCTTTATCTCTTCCTTTCCTCCAAATTGAATTTTCTCTACCAACACTTTCCTCAAACTCTTTCAATTCCTTCTTTAGCAGCATTGTTACAATTGTACAATTGTTATCTCTATCTCCATAATTTGTAGTCAGGCACTTGTCCAGCCTCCCTGTTGCTTTCCAGGGATGGAAGTTATGGTCTG